CAGAGGACGAATCACAGGAGAACTGGCTTCCAGCTGACTTCCTGCACAAACCAGACAAAGTCCACTTACCTGCATGTTGATTTAGGATTAGTCCTAATGTTCTCACGTAGGTATTAATCATTATGGTATCCTTATATCAATCAAGTAATTGTTTAACTTTTCAATTTTCCATAAAACCAAAAGAAAATTATTAGTATTCCCAAAAGTTTGCATCTTAAAAACATACCTATTTATTTGACAGGGCATCATACATCACTGCGTAAGGAACATGCAGATAGGTTCTTTCGGTTTGTGAGATTACTGCTAAGACCTGTTATAAACTATTTTATGAGTTTATATAATGACCTCAGCATGTGTCTGTCGAGAGCACATGTCTGGTATTCATGACTAAACACGACAGTGAGCTGTATATTTGAAGGATTAAAGGAAAACAGGTGATATTGTGCACCATGAAACAGTATACTATCATAGGATCATAGAAACTTCAGAGTAATTTAGAAGTAGGCTCATTTTAGGACTTTCAAAATGTATTACATTTTCAATACAAATTGTACTCCTGTTAAGAGTATTGAAACTGTATACTAACTTACTATAGCTATTAAAACTACAAACTTTCTATTTATCATTTCTTGACTCACATGTAAGTATTTTGCAAATCTATGTTCTTCCTACATCAAAACCATGTTTTTCATACATACCAACAAAAGACAATTCCCACACATTAATTTGAACTCTTCACCAAACTACAATTACTCTCTTTATTGGCAGTAATTTGGTAGACGTGATTATGAGTGTAATATCCTGTTGGAGGGGATGACACCTTGGCACCTGTGGAGCTAATGGACTGCTGCACACACTAATAATGCCCAAGCAGCACGAGGTGTCAACAAATGGGACTATGGACACATATTACATATTCTTGACCAGTAGAGCATCCCCTCTCGTTAATAAAAGGCAATACAATGTGAAGCTACATCCAAAAAATGGAGCCCATTGAATGTCTATGGAGGATTTAATCTCTTGCATTAGACCCAAATTACAAAATAACTTTTGTCTACGAGTTTGGTCAAGTTTGGCCATTCATTTTTCACAATGATAAAGCAGATGTTGTTATATATGTTTCTTGGATAAGATGTTCTGTTTTGTGTGTTGTAACCCCAAACTTTGTTAAAAGTACCCAGAGGACATATCCATCCAAACATGTTCAGCCCTTGGAAGAAATAGGTTGAATAGCCCTGCTTTATATCAATCAATCAATCCAGTTTTACTTATAAAGTGCTTTTCATACAGAAGATGCAACACAAAATGCTTTATAGTTTGGTAAAACACAATCCCACATGCCCATGACCCCTCCTCCCAACCACCCAACCCAAACCACATATATTTTTAAATAACGCACGCGTAGACACACACATTCACGCTCTCACACACGCCAGTAAAACAGTAAAACCATTAAGAGAGACACTTGGCAGGGTGCAGATGTAACCAGCTGGCAAAGCATATCCTGGTGCATGTTTGTAATAAAAAATAAAAAATAAAAATAAATAAACAATTAAGAAAAATGTAGTAAATGGCATCTAAGAAACATCCCAGAACAATTGTATGCGGGTACAGACGTTTTAGCATCCTGTGGAATATATAGGTATTATATAATACTAATAATACTAATACTACTACTAATATACTCATATTTTATAATATATGAGTATTCTTGCCTGTTGCAGATTGACCCTGAAGATCAGAGGACTTAGTATCCAGTAGGGTGTTGGGAAAAGCAGGTAAATGGATTGACCTGTTAAAGTTACAACAAGCACTCAAAAAAGAGATTTTTTTGAGTGCAGGTTAATTTGGAATTTTTCTTTGACTGTACAACAAAACATGTAGACATTATTTACTTCATGCTGATCGAGGCTGTTTGTCTTCTACTATTTTTCGTATTTTGATTGTCAGTTTCCCAGGCTTTAAAATGTAAATGTAAATTCCTGACAGTGCTTTGCATTACCTACACAAACTCATTTTGCCATCACTGAGGTTTCCTGAATATTTCAACCAAATCCTTTTTCAATGTTTTGAGTTATGTTGCTTTCTAACAAATTAACTCTGAAGAACAAAATACATCTCCCACTTCTGCAACACAGGTATTTTAATGCAAGTTGCGCTTTTGTCATTGATTATTGACAAACAGTAAGCTATGGTGCTTTTATTATATTTTAGACCTCAAATCCAAATGTTCAAGGCTGTCATTCTTGATTCTTGAGACCTTATTTAGCTTTTTTAGCTTGTCCTGTCAACCCCAAAAAACATCAAGGCCAGTCATTCACGTGTGAGCAAAGATCTGGAGGTTAGATACAAATGCTGTGGAGTAATATAATACATGTCAGATGCTATATATGCAGCCTCAAACAGACAGGTAGCTCCACGTCCACAATCTGTGGCAGCAAAACAGAGAGCCTTTCACCAAAGCATATGGTCTGCATCACCAATTATGAAGGTGTGTGCTGATCGGTCGAGATGAAGAGAGTGGCGGGCACACAGGGAGTTTTAAATCTGGACAGATGAGGAGAGTCCGGACTTTTAGCCAATTTAGACTAATGACCCAGGGTCAAAGGCAGCTCTTAAAGCTGCAATAATGACCAAAAGATGAGGGAACAGGAGTAGATAACTAAATCAGTTCAACTGGAAAGCAAGAGAGACATGGAAAGGGTAGGGTCTATAGAAACTTTGTATGGAAAGTTTGAGAACTTTTTGGACAACTTTTCTTTGAGTCAAAGTGGCCACAAAATTCTTACTACTTTCTAACTTCACTTACTAAGTTTGACCCTTAAATAGGCATAATATTGCTGGGTTGCAATCAAAGGGGGAATGGCATGGGACTGTAGGACAGGAAGTCTTCTTCTCCTATAATTAGAGCAATGCAAAAAACAGGTACATAGGAGCTTTTTTGCGGCTTTGTATACTCTGTATATTAAGTGGAAACTGTTTTCAATATAGCACATGCCTTGTATTGTTTGAATGATTTCAATACTTTCAACAATGAGGAGGATTAAGCGGCTATTTATGACAAAAATGGAACTTGTCACCCTGGGATCAACAGAAAGCAAGTCCATGATGAATGTTCTGATCAATAGGACATAAATGTTACTTTAAAATAACCTTTGAAGCGAGAAATATTGCCCTTTATTGTCATTGCGGTAATTTGTTGCACGGTGAAATAAAATAAAAAAAATCGGAGGGGGGGGCTCTGCAGCAGGAAAGGCCTATGTATATTTGCGCGTCGCTGCGTTTTCACTGAACCTGGTCAACGCAAGGATCACCGCAAGACCCTTGCGCTACCACACGTGCACTCTTGGATTTTTCTAACAACAGACCAGTCGACAACCCGACTGTTCTATTGGGTTGACAATGGAAATAATAACCATAATCTAAGTTGTAAGCTATTAGCTGTCAAGTTAGCCACAGGACGCGTCATCGGCCTACATCAGTAAAATGATGAATGCGGCAATTCAACTCGACAAGAGGACTGCTATCACACAGTAGAAGTGTGGTTTCACAGAACCAAACTTTACACAAAACTTTGACTCTTAAAAACCACAACATGGAATCATCAACATCTCGCCTCAAATTCCATTAGAAGTGACATTTGTATCTTCATTTGTTCGTATTTAAAGGAGCTATACCCGTTTCTGCAAGGTTTGAATGTTTAGCACTACCCCCAACTCGTTCACAGGTCTCTCATTTCCCCTACTCTCTCATCCAAGTGGTAACTTTTGTTACTTACGTGGCAATAAAAATGATTCTGATTCTGATCCCACGGAGCTATCTAGTTTTATTCGCAAATTGCAATCTATATACAAACATTAGTATGAGCGCAACTTCTTGTACAAGAATCACTGATTAAATGGTACAAAAGCAACGCACTGCTAACAAAATATATAACTGAAAGATTACCGCTAGTTCCATGTCCGAATGTAGACCGAGCATAGATAGTCTGAGGTGGTCCTGCAGGTCTCTCCAGAGGAAACGATGTAAGCTAGCTATGTTCACCCGGGCTTGATTTCTTCTTTGATCATTTTTTCGCTTTAGTTCCCTCTTCTCTTCCTCACTGTTGCATTGTTTGGGCTGTTTTGCTGTGTATGCAGTTACAGCAAGAGGAGTTATACAATTCTGCTAACATGCTACTGTGTCTTTGTTGAATCTGCACTCGCATCTGCACCTTGTTCCATTCATCCTGCACTTATAAATAAAATAGTTTGATCTCTGATAGTTATTACTCTTGTTTTGCTTGTTTGTGCACAAATACAATTTAATAATAACCATGATTTCATTCTTTCTCTGGAAATCATTTCTTCCTTTCCTTTTTTGATATTTTCCTAAAAATGTATACTCATTTGAGAAATATGTTTAGGTCTTCACTTGATGCTAGCAGTTGCTACAAATAGCATTTTGACTCAGAATCAGTGAAGATTTACATGGTTCTTCATAAAGAGATTCACTTCTATAGTAGTCCTCTAGACTTTCACACCCCTGTGTGATGTCAGCTCTACCCCAGCAATAGCCTATATTCATGTCTAAATAATTTATTTATATAATTACACTCTTTTATTTAATAAAAATCATAATTCACGGTCTTGCTGCAATATATAGGCAGAAAATTAGCAAAACAGTGTTTGCTCTGCATATAGATATGCCATATTGAAAGCAATCTTCTATCTGTCTACAAAATATTCTCATTGCATTCACTGCCCATGACAATGTGTAAATTGTGTGCTTGTGTGCACCTAAGTGGAAATAGAGTTAATCATCTGTAGATTAGCCCCATCTCGGCCTTCAGACGTGTTAGCTTATGGCAGAGCTCTCTGAATTCCTACCTTTCCACATGCAGAGATACGTCCCTTTGAGCTGTCCGAGCCACAAACAATCTGTTGTCTCAGCAATGAAATCCTCTCTTCTAAGCCGCTGTTTGCTTTAGTCGCGATGACACAAGGGCAGGAATGTGAGCAATGCCGCTGTACATTGCAGTCTCATTTCCTTCAAACGCAAGCCATCTCCACTCCAGACTGGGCAGAGCGGCGCGGCTGATCCCAGGTCAGACAGCGGCTTGCAGACAATGTTTATATACAGGTGAAGGGTGTGTGTGATGGACATGTTTTCAAGTCGAATGAGCATGTGAATCAATGTATACATTTGACAAGCGGGTTTTGACCAACGCTGTCACAGCGTGGTGCTATTCCAGTCACACTTCAAACTGTTTGATTTTCTTCCACCAACCTGGCACTGGTCGCTGTGCTCGTATGCCACACTTTTCATTCTTAAATTCTCATTCATTCATTTCTCAGCGCTCCTGTGTCCGCCACACGCCCACACAAACACACAGGCACGCAAACACACATTACCCACTAAGCAGCTGCACATTGGAGAAAGACACATCTCACACTTGTTCACATTGACTCTCACTGATTGCAAAGAGCGCGACCCTTGCTGAAGCTGGTTAGAGCCTTATTGATCCATGGTTGGCGCTTCAGTAGCTCAGTGTAAACAGAAAGAGAAACGGAAACTTAACTTGGATCTCTAGGTAGTTGCTGAAGATAGCATTAGCTCCACCAGGTGGTCCGTTGTTCTACACCGCATTTGGTCTGACATGGTTGAAATAATAAACCCTTCAGACCACGGGCCATCTTCACACCACTGTGGCGATGATCTGGGATACTTGGCCTAGTTCCTTTGTAAAAACCTATGTGGCCGTGCCCCAAAAGGGTTCCTGGTCAGCCACATTTTGTATTCGTTCTTATTACATATTCATCATTGAACATATCTGATTTATTTTGGTGTTTTTTTTCATTGTTTAGGATCAGGTATGAAATATGTATAGTATAATAGTCAACCAATCCGTTGAAAGAATCCTAATACCAAAACCTATTTTGAAACTGATTTTATTTATTTTCTTTGAAAAAAAGCAAATTCATTCATTTGTCTTCCACATATCGGCTTGGGGGGAAAAAGAGCCTTTATGTGTGACTTATGTGTGCTTTGAACTAACCTGCATATTGTGATCTGTTTATCCAGCTGCAGGAAAACTAAACACACATAGCTATACTTCCCAAGCATTTATTCATACAGTAAGTGGGCGGCATGTAATGGCACGAAGCATTCATGCATAGAAACACCTTCAGTCAGTCATGAAACCGCATTTTCCATCGAGCTCACCTCACCCAGTCATCACTCAGCACCCGTTTGTCAAGACTGCTGTGTACCCAACATCCTTGAGACCAATTAAGTCCTGCAATTTCAAGCTAAAGTATTGTAAAGATGTAGTAATCCTGCTCTTTCTAAATATGTTTGGCCAAATGTTGAACAGAATATATTGTAAGATTCGGCTGGTTTTTCATGTACAAAGAAAGGGTTCTGAGAGTTGAAAAGGATCAAAAGACTGCAACTTTTAGGTGAACGATGAAAAGCCAGAACACACATGCAACCTTCAGAAGATGTTTATGAAGATAATAACAGATATTTAAGTATTATATATTGCAACAGAAACACACATGAATAGCATAATAATGGAACAACTTTGCTATTTCCTCACTCATTCAAGATGGATACAAAGTTGAAGAACGTTTCCATGTAGGAAGCAGGCTATGTTTTGTCTCATCTAAACTATAGATCCTATTTTAACCACGATAGATCCCATTTTGCAAGTGACAAAATAAGAACAGTTGAAGAGATCTGGTACAGTCGTCCTGGCCACACTTCACAGTTATAAAACTCATCACAAGTGATGGTGATGACAATAGCCAAAACCTGGCTCAATCGCTTTTCGTAACCATTTAGGCGCTATTATTTTTTTCAGAATGAAGAGGGGAGATGGACAAGAGAACTGCGGATGAAAGTTAGCCGAGCAATGCCTGCATAATAAGATTCGTTCATAATGAACTTTACCAATGTGCCTTGTCCCAATATAATATATAAGGAAATCCAAAACGTTCAATGTTTACTGTGGTTTAAAGGACGCTCAACTAATCATAAAATAAAATACAATTACTTAACAATTAGTTTTTCAACCCTGAACTGCTCAATTAAAAAAATATTCTAAAAAGTTAAGAAAGGAAAAATATCAGTCCTAACTAAAGTCCTTACTTTTTGCAAGTCCACTTTGGACCCCAACCACAAACTATTCTGCAAATTAGTGACCCCCAGCTTCAGGGTCACTGCCCTGAGTGCACTGATCACCACGGCCACTACTGTCACCTTTACCTTCTAGAACCTCTGTAGCTCCTCTTTGAGCCCTTGGTATTTCTTTGTGCCATTTTTTCCTGATCCCATAGAATTGCCACGTCCACCACCACGGCTTTCCTCTGCTCTTTGTCTACCACCAATGTCAGGTTGGTTCACCGATACCATCTGGTCGGTCTGTATCTGGAAGTCCTCAGTGGTCTGAACGATGAGTGAACCCTCATGTCAGTCACTTGTCAGTCGCATAGAGTGTGGGGAGGCGGGACTACTGGCGTAAATTATTTCTAAAACAATTTTTGCATATGGCCTAATGAGACACCTGTTTCATAACTTTGTTTACAAAGGTCCTGGCAGTTTTATTTCAGTTCATTTTTGGTTAACAGGGACTGAGAGTCTATTTTATTTATTGTTTTTGGTTGTTTGTTCATTCATTGTGTTCTAGTATTAAATATTCTTTAAAAACAAAAGTATATTTCTCTTTGAAAAGGTGTACCTGCATCATTATCATTGTATTAGATGAAAATGATCTCAGAATGACGATACTATTGCTTATCGCAGTAATTTCTGAGACAATTTATTGTCCAGTAAAAATTTGTTATTGTGACAGGCCTTCTCTGCACAGCATCTTGCACCCTGCAGTTATGTTTATTTATTTATTTATGGACATTTCATTGGAGGATAAACCCCATGAGATGTATCATCTCGTTTTTGTGGGGGGTCCTCATGATCATATCCAAAGAACATAGGATATGTTGTATTTATAAATACGTGACATTCTAAAACCAT